TTTTCCAAACAAAACCGGAAATCGAGGGGTTATGACGTCATTGGCAGGCGACACAATGACACTATACGGTCCGTGTCGCTAGTTAAAATAGCTTATTTCTCTGGATTTAAACATTCTTCGAAACATTTGGGTTAATGTAAGTACACACGTCAGCAAAATATATAACACTGTTCTAGTGGTTTTTGGATATTTTAATAAAAAAATCTTACATATTGTGCCTTTAACTGAATCTAAACTATTTTGCATATACTGTAAATAATTCCAGTCAAGAACGGTTTGAGGTTCTCTCACATGGTCCCAGCTGTGCAGGCCCGGCAGGTGTATTCTGCCCTTCGAGTCGACGTGTTTACCCTCCCGTATGACCATGCTGGACGTGGGTCTCAGGAAGCAGATGGGAGGCGTGAAAGGAAAGGAATCCAAGAGCCACAGCAGGATGGGCAGGTTATATAGGTGCCCTGTGAATACATTACCGTCCACACACACACATATAAATCAAGGGTCTTCTGAGCAATTACCAACTACGGTACTGTATTTCTAGCATATTCCTGGTTCAAATGAACCAGAGATGCACAGAGTCTCACCTTGATATCTGACTGGGATGTTTCCAAGCAGTTTGAGCAGATCCTTCTGTAAACTGTCACTAGATGCTGTAAATGCGTTTCAAAAATGACTTAATCACAAATGATGCATACAATAATCTGATATATAAAATTCATTAAATAATATTATATGCTAATATATTGTAATATGCAGTAATTTTAATATAAAATGTAATAATACCAAAAGGAATTAAACTCTGAACTCTCTATAACTAAACCAGATGAATGTAGTTTCATATATTCAGAATGACTTACTGTATGTTCCGGATATTAATTTCATATCAGAATGAAGGCGAGACACTTTCTGTAGCTCTTCGATAGCAACATCACGAAATTTATACTGGTACGAAAACAAGTAACATGTTAGACAAAATAATCCATATTTAAAGGCTGGGCAGTAAACGTGATTTTTAAGACAGTGACTCAACTTTTCAAACAAGTTTAACCAGTGTCTATCATCAGCCTTAATTCATTACTATTTAAGATTATGAGAGCGTATGTGAACAAGCATGAGTTAGTCACCTTAGAGAGAACTTTCTTCACAGATTCCGAGTTTAAATCCATTATCTCTGTTTAATTCAAGCCAAGCTCGGTGAAAGCGAGGAAAGCAGGAGCGGTTCAATCTCAACCGGGCAATAAAGTGAAACTTCCGCAAACACTTCGCAGCTGACTGCTGTCTGCTACGGCGAGCCGAGAGGAGTGATGTTATGCAAATACAACACAGCGATGGTGTACATTGAAAAACAACTGAGATGAAAATAAAAGGTGAAAATGCACTGCAAATATTTCAGGGTTGGTATTTTGAATACACATTTTTTAAATGTTATCATACAAATAAAGTTTGTAGTATTTTCTAACTTTTTTTTTTTTTTTTTTACCAAATATGAAAACCATACTGACAGAAAAAAATTCAATGCTGATTGCCAGAAAATTTGTCAGGGGCTAGCGAACCATTTGCGTTTGAAGTTGTTTGTCAAGTTATAGGAGACAAAATAAATGTTGTTCCAGGATCAACATGGATGTTGATCCAGGAACATGTTGTACTTGGTCAAATCACGCTCACCAAATATTATATTGAATTTAACAAACTGCACATATTTTATTCCCACTGTCACTTTATCACACACACACACACACTTCATGTTTAATTTTTAGCACATTTATTCATTATTTTTTATCATTTTAAGAAAAAAAAGCTTATTATAGGTAAAAGAAACTTTTAAAGAAAACTCATCGTTATTTATGACCTAACATGCATTTTAAAAAATGGATAACAGCAAAAGAATAAAACGGTGGAATGATGTTGTCCAGGGCTGGACTGGGACAAAAAATCGGCCCTGGCATTTTTTGGTCCAGGCGGCCCACCACCATATATATGATATACACTATCAGTCAAAAGTTTTTGAACAGTAAGATCTTTAATGTTTTTTAAAGAAGTCTCTTCTGCTCACCAAGCCTGCATTTATTTGATCCAAAATACAGCAAAAGCAGTAATATTGTGAAATATTTTTAACTTTTTAAAATAAAATTTTTCTATTTGAATATATTTTAAACTGTAATTTATTTCTGTGATCAAAGCTGAATTTATCATCATTACTCCAGTCTTCAGTGTCACATGATCCTTCAGAAATCATTCTAATATACTGATTTGCTGCTCAAGAAACATTTATTATTATTATTATTATTATGTTGAAAACAGCGGAGTAGAAATTCTTCAGGTTTCTTTGATGAATACAAAGTTCAGAAGAACAGCATTTATCTGAAATATACATATTTTGTAACATTATAAATGTCTTTATCATCATATTTGATCAATTTAAAGAAAATAGAAAGCAGTTATTTTAAATAGTAAACATATTTCACAATATTACTGCCTTTGCTGTACTTTGGACCAAATAAACGCACGCAGGCTTGGTGAGCAGAAGAGAATTCTTTAAAAAAAAAAAATCTTACTGTGCAAAATGTTTTTAACTGGTATTGTAGATCATTGCATCTAGTTGTTTTAGATACGAATAAAACGTCAGGTCTGACAATATCGTTTAAATCGTTTTATCGACAATTTTTATTTCAATCGAGATTTATTTGCATTGGCTTATGGAAACCTCTGTGAACACAACTTGACTTGACTTTCACTTGACGCGGGGGAGATTCAACTACTCTCCTCTCCTCCTCCTGCCTAGCTCTTTGGCCCGCATCACTCACCGCAGAACAAGCCTGTTCTTGATAATGCTGCTGTGGAAACGTGGGAAAAGCCGACGAGGAAGAAGTTGGGGTGAAGCGGTCTTTATATAGGCGGAGCAAAATACTTCATCGCTCTGTCTATAGCGCATTGTGATTGGCTGTTTACGCTGTCAATACACGAGACAAACCAATGGGCCACTGGCTGCTCGCTGTCCCTACGTGATGGTCCTTGGCAAAAAACAAACAAAAAACATTCTGTCGAGAAAATGCCCGGTAACCAATTCAGCCCTGATGTTGTCATATAGTCAGCCAGAAAAAAAAGGTAATATAAGAAGAACCTGGGAAATTGTATTAAATATGGAAACCAATATGTGACATAACTTCCACTTCATGAATGCTTTTGACTGTGTGTAAATTTCTTTTTTCTTTTTTAGACAGCAAAGATTTTTAATACACGACGCTATTTTGTATCCCTGCACATCTCTTTGTAGTGTATATCTATACTGGCTTTAAGGAGTTTTCACATTCGTGATCAAGTGGCAACCCAACACTACCAAAATTGTATATTATTTAAATGTAATAAAACGTATGTATTTTTAATAGGCCCAACAATGTGCAAAATGATTAACATATGGGAAGTTTTGGATTCTGATTCTAATTAGTTGTTTTGTGAACATTAAAATACTAATATCTGTGTTCCCAACGTGATTTTGTGTTGTGGGTACAAGTTAAGTAGGCCTAATGCTGCTAGATCAACCCAAACCCTATCCCAATCAACTAACCATCAAACAATGCAAACAGCCTATCAGTATCTGCCTATGAGCAAAGAACCATACTATGAGGACATGGTTCATAAAGGGGCTCATTTATGCATAAATTAGTTCATAAGCTACCTGACCTTATGTAAAAATTTACCACGACTCTTGTTAGCCAAGATGGAAGTAACAAAGCAGCCAAACGCTGTGTGAAATATCATATGCGCCTTGCTTTGAAGTGGATAATAAAGAGATGATGGCGATATTCTTGCGACCATTTACTCTGGTCCAGTGACAAAACCAGCAAGAGGTACAGTAATTACCCTGATAGCACACATACATCACAGAGACATCTATTTGACGTCTGCATTTACGTTTCCTATCAGATGTCAAATAGACATTTATTTTTTACAATGCATGTAAAACGTAACATCTTAAAGACGTCTAACAGATGTTTGTACACAGCAGATGCTTTCCAGATGAAGTGATCTTTAACAGACATCTTGCAGATGTACGTGTGCTATCTGGGTAGGAAAGGTTAGCCTAATGTCTTGTCTACCGCTTTGTCTTTCTTGACACCTACTAACATCTTTGTTTGAGCATAGTGCTTAACTCTACACTGGTTGTCTGGATCAGTAGCTTTTACAAAAACTACTGTGTTGTCTAATTGATGTGTTATTGTTACCATAAGTACTTCACGATTCTTCACAGAATACCATGGTATTGCCATGTTACAATGTTGACTTGTTTCTAGATGATGTTGAAATGTGAATAATGTCATTTGCATTACAAACATACGTTGTGCAATGCAACCAATGTGTTCCACAGCACAAAGTAAATATTTGGGTTTCATCCCAGCTAAAGGCAACTCATTTTCACTTCCAGGTTTATGGAACCAGATCCACCATTACAGCGACGACACTGAATTAACAAATGACAGGACAGCAGAATCGGTCAAAAATCACTTTAACAAAAAGTACATGGCAGTCTTATACACTTATAAACTAACTCTCCCTAAATCAGGACCAATCTGGAAGTTGGTGCTTGAGTAAGGCATCCACATAGATATACTTTCATGGTTTCTACAGATACAAAAAATGCTATCGTGATTCTCAGATATTAATTTCATATATTATTTTCTCCGAAGCTCAGCTATGTCAGATGGGCTCTTGATAGTGCAAACCTGCTCCCGTGGCTTGGGCATTCAAATAAATAGTGTAACAATGTCAGCGGCACAAGGAATGCATTTCCATTCCACTCGGTTCCTCCCAACCAAATAAGACTATATCAAAGTCAAGTAAGGTAAACTAAATCTTTTTCTGCTTTGCTTTCATCCCTAGTTTTCTTTTCATCTCCTCCTCCTCCATACGGATGTCCTCTTCATCCTCCTTGATGCCCAGGCGTAAACTGAGGCAGAAACAAAAACAGGTGTCATTAAGGAACGTCATTTTCGCTGGTCCTCTGCGTAAAGGGAGAGAAGCGTTTTATTTCAGTCTGTTGGAAACACAATCATTTTCTCTTCTTGGCATTCTTCCGCCTCATCTCCTCAATCGGGTTGGCTACAGTTCACATTTTAATCGGTACCTGAATTTCGGTGCCGGTACCTTTTTTCGGTACTTTACTCTGTGTAATTACGAAAACATTTATTTCAGTGAAAGTAAGTCAAAAAGTCTCAATTTCAACATTTTGAACAATAGAGTCCTACAAACTTTTTCTTTCTTTTTTTTTTCTCCCAGAACGGCTTGCCCTGTGTGTTGTTTGAACGAGTTGCAGGGGTGACCTCTTGTCACAGGGTCTCTCTTGCGTCTCAGATGCGTTCTCAGGTAACGAAATTTGGCACCGATTGATTTAACGTGAATCGGTACTCGGTAGTACCGACGCAATTCGGTCGGTACCCTTAAAAGTACCGAGTTCGGTACCCAACCCTACTCCTCAAGTTCTCGTCTTTCCTCCTCCTGGTCCTCAAGCACTGCCATTCGCAGGCTAATCAGACAATCAGGGGCAAGGCAAAACAGAAAACACACAGAAAAGAAGGCAACAGTGGGATGATTTAGTGAAAATGATGATGAACCAAAGCAGTTTGCAGCTGAATTCATACCTCCTCGCTTCCTCTTTCTGCTGTTCTTTCCAGGTGCTCTCCATAAATTTCAGTGCATATTCACTTTCATCTTTATATCTGTTGAAACGAAAGACCATTTTAACACAAAGCAGGCAAACAATCCTTGTATTTTAAGGCTAGAAACATTCTATGCAAGTATGCAAACATCTGCGAGTAAACGTCACCTATAAATAGCAAGATCTTTTCAAGTCCAAGGATATTTTATAGTAATCTTAAACTGCGCAAAAACTCACTTGGTCCTGTCATAGCCAAAGATTTCCCTGATATGTTTTGAAATTTCATCTTGTTCTCCTCCTTCATCGTCGATGAAGTCATCCATCTCAGAGTCATACTCTTCCTCATCCTCATACTTTCGTTTATAATTGGATGTTATGGGGGGCAACACTGGTCCTTCAAAAATGGCAGGAGTAGAGGGGATACAACTTTAAAAACATGTAATATTACACATAAGGCATTAGTGTTGCTACTGATTACAAATGAAAAACAAATGTCATTGTTTATAGAACATGAATGAATACATGTGCAAATCAAGCTCATTTTAATGCAAATTCAATACAAGTACTTGGAGCAATAAACGACACAAGAATCGATT